CGCCCCGCCATGGGGTGCCGCTTCGATGCGGCAGCTGCGCGTGCACCACCAGCACCCGCGGCACGCCCCACTCCGCGCTCCACGCTGGCGCCGACGGCGGCGAAGGCGGCAGCCCAGAGCGGGCGGGCAGCTGGGACGTCCCGCTTGCTTCCTGTGGACCCCTCCTGCTCGTTCCCCTCCTAGTCCTCCCCGTCCACTGAGCCTCGTCCTGCTCCCTCCTCCTCCTCCTCCTCCTCCTCCTCCTCCTCCTCCTCCTCCTCCTCCTGCTACACCTCCTCGACCTCCACCGTTTCCTCCCGCTCCTCCTCGCCCTCGCCCTCTTACTCCTCCTGGGAGGGTCGGTCGGTCGGGCTCAGCCTCAAGTCGACTGCATGCTGTGTCGAAAGTCTGGCGCGCGCCCCACGCACGACGGTCGCTGCCCTCCTTCCATGCCGGAGAGGGGTGGACCTCCCTCTCCAGCCCCGGGCTCCTGGGTGGAGTCTCCACAGCCCGTGCTCAGGACGTCGCGGGCGGATTGTCCAACGAGCTTGCCCACATTGGGGAGGGAGGGAAAGAGGGAGAAAGGGAGGGAACGGCGCCGCTCTCTCCAAAACATGCCTGTGTCCTCAAACCGGTTCCATGCTTGCCAGCTTGGAGCTTGGATCCAAACAGTAAATCATAGCATGACGGATGTGAAAGATATGTGGTGCAAGCAGCGTGCTGCAAGCTATGTGGTGCAAACATGTGGTGCAAGGTATGCGGTGAGATCTGTGAAATGCCGACTATGTTTTGCAAGCTATTGGGTGCAAGCTATACAGTGCAAGCCATGTGGTGCAAACCAGGGGGACTTCAATATGTGGTGCAAGCTATGTGGTATAAGCTATGTGGTGTATGCTGTGTGGTGCAGCCTATGTGGTGTAGGATTTACGGTGTACGCCACGTGGCGAAGGCTGAGTGGCAAAAGCCATATGGTGGAAGCCGTGCGATACAGGCTGCGCGGCCGAGCAGCCCACGAAGAGTCCGCGGGCGAGCACCAGGCGGAACCTCGGCTAACATACAGAGGCTACGAGGCGAAGCGAAGCGAAGCGAAGCGAAGCGAAGCGAAGCGAAGCGACCGCCGGAGTCGTGCGCGCTCCTCCGGGGAGCCCGCCCGTGCCCATTCGGGCACGGCGTGGAGGCCGTGGCCTCGAGGCTGCGAGGCCTCGAGGCCTCGGGGCCGTGCCCGTCAGGGCATGATGGCAGAGGCGACGAGGCGCCCGCGAGGCGGCGCCGCGATGGGCGGGCACCGGGAGAACCAGGCCTCAGAGAACCACAGCGAACCCTCATGCCACATTCGTCTGTGACAACGCCTCCCCCTCCCCCCAATGTTTTCAAAGCTGGCGGTGGGTCTGATGCGTTGCACCTCGACCGCAGTGTACCCCCGCGCGTGCCAGCCTTGAGTTTGGGGGGGCAGGGGGGGTGTTCACTACTTCTTTCCCTCTACCGTATGTCCCCAGCGGGGTTGACCACATGGCGTCCCCCCCGCCCATCGCGGCGCACCCCACGCGCCCTGCACGCGCGGGAGGCCCTAGCCTATGGCCCCAGTCGGAAGTCCTTTTGGCGGCCGCCTCGCGTTTTGAAGGGTTGAGGTGTTCGCCCGGCTAAGTGCTGCGTGGACGTGCTGAGCGAGACCTCCGAACGTCGGCGGGCACCAGGCCGAGCCTCGGCCGACCCGCCCGAGGCGCCCGCGAGGCGCCCACGAGGTGCCCGCGGGCGGGCCCCGAACGAGGACTGCGGCGGACCCGCCCTCAGCGCGAGGCCTCCCACGGGGGGCGCCCACGGGCACCCAACGGCGGGGCACCGGCGGCGCCACGTCGGCTGTCTTCCGCCCGGCTCCCGAGGAGCGCTGATGCGTGCCAGTGTGGTGCAAGCTATGTGGTGCAGATCACTTGCCGAACTTGAAGTTGTCAACTCCACCGCTCGCGCAATCATCCCACCCACCCACATTGCGATTTCATATTTAGGATGGACATGTGGTCAGACTCATATGTGAGCTACATACCCGGAGGAGGGGCGATAACGCCGGGGGGGGGTAGAGTCTATTCTCCTTTCAGGAGGTGGCGCAAGTTATGCCATGCATGCTGTCTGAGATGCAAGGTGCGACCTGTGCAACCTGCGTGGTCTCAGCCATGTGGCGCAAGCAGTGCGGCGCAAGCGACGTGGTGGAAGACAAACGGTGCAGGCTGCGTGGTGCAATCCATGCGGTGCCCACGAGGCTTATGTCGGGCGTGTCCCCCTACAGGGGAATTTTCGACGAAATATAAAACATACCGCCCCAAAAAAACCCAAACAGGTCAAAAAATACCCCCGCAAAATAGTCCCCAGACTATGTTTGAACTATCTTTTGACAATTTTTGGGGGTATGTCTATTTTTCGTCGAAAATCCCCCTGTAGGGGGACAGGCCCGACTTAACACGAGGCGCCCAAGGGCGGGCACCAGGTAAAACCTCGGCTCCGCGCTGGGGTGGCGAGCTCCACCCAGTCGCCGCACAGGGGATGCAGCACGGGCCCAGCCGTAGCACAGGAGGGTGGCGAGGGAGGGGGGCCGAGAAACTGCGGAGACAGCTCGGAGCACGCGCCGCGAGTCATATGGAATCGAAGTCTCTCGCCTCGCGCGCGAGCGAACCCAGCGCACGAGGCGTCCACACGGCGCCCACGGGCGGGCAGAAACCGACGCCTCGGCCGACCCACCCGGCGCGCGAGGCGCCCGCGAGGCTCCCGCGGGCGGGCACGGCGCGAGACCTCGGCCGACCCACGCAGCGCACGAGGCGCCCACGAGGCGCGCCACGGGCAAGCACCGCTAGCTCGGGCCTGTCCCTAGAGGGGGATGTTCGACGAAAGCTGAAACCTACCCCCAAGATAATCGAAAAATAGTCCAAACATAGTCTGGGGACTCTCTTTTGAATATCTTTTGACCTGTCTGGGGGCATTTTCGGAGTAATGTTTCGTCGATTTGTTTCCCGGAAAGGGCCTGAGCCCAGGGTTCTCTTTTAGTTGGTTTCCCCCCGGTTTTGACGGCTGTAGGGCCGGCGAATTTCTTTTGCGATAAAAAACGAGGTCGCGTAGGGCCGGCGAATTAAAATTTGACGATGTCTCGAGCGAAACGCTTGTGTTTTCAGAATTTCTTGAGGATGTCTCGAGCGAAACGCTTGTTTTGTGTTATAGATTGTCCTTTCCTGGGGGCCAGAATTCAGAGGATCTCTCAAGTGGAGTGCTTGTTTTCACGTGCCCAGGTCTTGAGGATGTCTCGAGCGAGACGCTTGGTTTCACGCCTCCAGGTGGCCCAGACAGATGTCTAGCATGAGGATTTGTTGAGGATGTCTCGAACCAGAGGCTTGTTTTCACGTGTCCAGGTTGCCCAGGCGGATGTCTAGCATGAGGATGTGCTGACAACGTCTTGAGCGAAACGCGTGTTTTCACGTGTCCAGGTCGCCCAGGCACAGCACAGCCCTCGGCACGGTACATCAATATCGATACCCTTAGCATTGCAGCCTGGCATGTTGCCTGGCACGTTCCGCGGAGCGTCCCGTGGCGAGTCCCCCTGGCACGTCGCGCGGTGCACGTCCATTGGCACGTTCCGTAGCGCGTCCCCTTGGCACGTCCCGCGGTGCGTGCCCATGGCACGTCCCCTGGCACGTCGCCTGGCGCGTCCCTTGGGACGTTCCGCGGCGCGTCCTCCTGGCATGTTCCCTCTGTCGATTAGTTCTGGGGCAGCTACCATCTGCTCAGGCAGCTCGAGCTTACGATCCAGATCAGTTCGGTGAGGACTCGGATGCCAGGGAGGACTCGATCCACAACGCTATATAGAGCACAATCGCGGCATGGCACATCGCAGTTCAGCACGGCCCAGCACAGCACAGCCGTCGGCACGGTACATCAAGATCGATACACTCAACTATGCACCTTGGCACGTTCCTTGGCGCGTTCCGTGGCGAGTCCACCTGGCACGTCGCGCGGCGCGTCCCCTGGCACGTCCCTCGGCACGTCCATTGGCACGTTCCGTAGCGCGTCCCCTTGGCACGTCCCGCGGTGCGTCCCCATGGCACGTCCCCTGGCACGTCGCCTGGCGCGTCCCTTGGGACGTTCCGCGGCGCGTCCTCCTGGCATGTTCCCTCTGTCGATTAGTTCTGGGGCAGCTACCATCTGCTCAGGCAGCTCGAGCTTACGCTCCAGATCAGTTCGGTGAGGACTCGGACGCCAGGGAGGACTCGATCCACAACGCTATATAGAGCACAATCGCGGCATGGCACATCGCAGTTCAGCACGGCGTAGCACAGCACAGCCCTCGGCACAGTACATCATCATCGATACATTCAGCATTGCATGTGCCCGTCGCCCAATCAGGTGTCTTTGAAATGTTGCAATGCCTTACATTTCTATATTCCTTTCCGGGTTCGTGGGTCGATCATGTTTTTGTTTTTTTTTTTCGAAAATCCCCCTGTAGGGGCACACGCCCGACATATAAAGGTACCGGGCGAAACCTCGGCTGACCCATCCAAGTTCCCAGGGAGCCTAACTAAGACCCCCTAGTGCTAGCAATACTGGGCGAGCAACGACATATGTACATGTACGCCCTCCGCGGTCTTGCCTGCACGAACGTCCGCGTTGACACGCACTCCAAGGGAAACGAACCGCGTACGTGTACATGTGTTGCTGGCCTCTGAAATACTTGGGGAATGGACAGAACTTCACTGGTCACGCATGTGCCCATGAAATGTCCGTGAACCTCTCAAGCAATGCACGATACGACACGATGGGTGTGCGTGTGCGACGTGTACCGAGCGAAAGATGTCCAACACTGAATCGGTGCTGCTGCGGGCGCTGGCCATGATCGACACTGCGCGCGTGCCAATCCGTTCTCTCTCCGTCCTCTTTCTACGATGCATGAGCACGGCCTGATTTTCATGACACCCTGCACTGCGGCAACCTTTCGTTCGCGCGATTTTCGCTAAAATCGCACCGCGCTAGATCTGACCCTGCGCTCATCCACTGCGGGGCAATAACGCGTCACAAGTCTGGGAAACAAAAGAAAAACTGCGAGGGTCCTTGTCCACAATTCCAGAGATCTTCCGGGTACTTGTCACTGCGTCTGCGCCGGCGACCTCGTACAAGGAGAACGCAGAAGGCACCTTCGGGAACACGCGGGCGCAAGTTGGTCCAAGACCGCAACAGCAGCAGTGTGATGAAATTGCCAGGATGAGCTGGAACAGCAGGCGCACGAGCGCACTGACCAGAAACAAACAGACATAGGCTGACATGATCCATACACGTTGTCGGGGAAGCGGCGAATGTGGCAGGCGGAAGGGCAACAAGAGAGGTGTTGTTCGGTGACGCTGGGCAAGCACGTGTCATTCATTCCTGCTTGGGCTCCTCTCATGTTCAGCTGGCTTCCCAGAGTTCAAGAGTCAAGCGATTCAGTTTCTGCCGAGAGCCAAGCGATTGTAGAGGTCGATGCTAAGAGAACCAGGCAGGGAGGAGGGGAGAAGAGCTTGCGATGCGCCATGCGACTCTTCAGCTATTGAGCGCGACGCGCCGGAGGCTCGTCCTGGACACACTTATGCCAGCCTGGCATGCAGAACGTCAAGATCCCGCGGCAACGATGCGACGCGGGGCTTCGATCGAGTCGTGCTCCAACACTGCGCCAGGTCGGGTGGGTGGCGCTCGGGGCCTCACGAGGATCCACCACTGTGTACGCCACCACCCAGCCTGGCCCCCAAAATTGAAAGAGGAAGGGACCGAGGGCGGGAGGAAAGCGGAAGTAGGGGAAGAGGAGGAGACCCGCCAGCCAAATACCCTTCCCGCCTGGCGCTGCTGGGAGGCCACGCTCCGTCCAGAGCCGGCCTGGACACCGCGACGCCAAGATTCCGAGGAGGGACGCGAGCGCCCTCGTCGAGCGCCCTGGCACGACGATGCTCTCCTTCCCCAGACCTCCGATGTCTTATTTTTCAAAGCGGGTTCCAGGAGCTCTGGACCACTTCCCGGGGACTGTTCGTTCCTCCGGGCTCGTTTTGTCGACGGTCCCGGGGCCCACAGCGAGGGCCCCCGCGGGGGTCGAAAATGGCCAAACGCTTCCCATCGCTATCTCCTCCTCCTCCTCCTCCTCCTCCTCCTCCTCCTCCTCCTCCTCCTCCTCCTCCTCCTCCTCCTCCTCCTCCTCCTCTACGGTGGAAGCATGCCTGGGTTCGGCGCTCGTGCTTTCTCTTCCTGGCGCGCGGGCGGCCGCGGGTCCGCGGCCGCCCGAGGCCCGCCCCGCGCGCGCGCGCGATGGCTCGGCGGAGGAGGCTTACTGCCACGCGGAGCGGCGGCTCCCCGCGCGCCGCTCCGCCCTGAGGGGGAACGGCAAGGGGAGGAGGAGGAGGAGGAGGAGGAGGAGGAGGAGGAGGAGGAGGAGGAGGAGGAGGGAGGAGGAGGGGAGGAGGAGGAGGAGGAGGAGGGGAGGAGGAGGAGGAGGAGGAGGAGGAGGAGGAGGAGGAGGAGGAGGAGGAGGAGGGGAGGAGGAGGAGGAGGAGGGAGGAGGAGGAGGAGGGGGGGGGCTGGCAATGTGGGAGGGGGGCATCAACCTGGCATCGGCGACGCATCGCCGAGAAGTCGGCGAGGGGCCCCCCGACGGCGAGCCCGCTCGCTGCCAGGGCAGGGGCGGGCCATCGGGCCCAGGCGTCGGCGACGAGTGGGTGACTGGGGGTCGATGCGTCCCCCGCAGAGCCCACTCTTCCCCTGACGTTGCCCCTGACCCCCCCCCTCCCCCCGACGGGAGGGCCTGCGGCGGCGGCGTGGCCGCCGCTGGCGGGGCAGCCGCAGCGCCTCGCAGGCTCGTCGTCGTCGTCGTCGTCGTCGTCGTCGTCGTCGTCGTCGTCGTCGTCGTCGTCGTCGTCGTCGTCGTCGTCGTCGTCATCGTGGACGTCGTCGTCGACGTCGTTGCGGCGGCCTCGGAGCCCCGCGGAGCTGCCCGCGCCGCAGGACGCCTCGGGGACCGGTGGCGTTCGGCGGGGGCCCCCGGGGGAGGCCGCGCGGCGGCCTCAGAAGCCCGCGGAGCAGCCCGCGCCGAAGAACTCCTTGAGCACGTGGGAGGCCACGGACGAGCCTCGAGCTTGCCGTCGCTCGGACGTCCATTTCCCGTGCATTTTTCGGTTTCGTGCGTGTTTTTGCTCGATGGTCCAGGATGGTCCTCGATGGTTCTCGCCGAGAAAAAATGTACACGTCCGAGCGATGCCAAGCGAGTGGTTGCGTGGCAATCAACCTCGAGAAAAAACCCTGGATTGCCCATGCTACACATGAGCTGGCGACTCTCTGTCGCCATCTTGCCAATGGTGAGACGCGTCTCCATCGCAGCGTGGAAGGGGGGGGCTGGGGGGAAGGGGCATGCCACTCCTTGACAAAAACCTTGCCCCGATTTGCGGACGCCGCGATCGCCGCGGCGACCTTCAAAACCGACCCGAAGATTCGGTTCGGGGTCGGATATGACGCAACGATCGGGGGTGGACA